TTCTAAGTATCTCCGGTACACTACACTCATCATAAGAAACGCAACAGCATCAGGTTGCTATTCTACATTGGTACTCTGTGAGAGTGTGGTCCTTCCCCAATTGAGCTAATATGTATTATTGCTTCCCTGGTACGATAATAGAGACAACTTTTGTAATATAAAATTATCAAGTATCAACTTCGTAAGAAAAAAGTGCTAAAAGTATTTGTGCTGAAACACAAGCGCTTACTTGTAATGAAAGACACAAGCCCCCTCTTTGAGCGATAAATGTACCATAAATGCCAAGTGTATCATAGAGTCAGGCGTTACTTTGCAGAAATCGTCAACTACATTTTTACCGTTTAGAGGCGAAGTACGAATCGTATTACTAACGGTGTTGAATCTTTCCTAGTGTAAGTGTGATTTTACGTAGTAGAGACATATTGCGGCTACACAATGGCTGAACTGGGGACCCTTTTTACTGGAAACGAAGATTTCCATCTAAATCCTCAGTGGTGACAACGCATCTGCATTTCGATTCTCAATTAAGAATTAATGTCTGTGAGTCAAAGTATCCACTTACCATCAGATAGATTGTGTATTCGTTTGTCACCCTGGTTTCATAAAAAAGCTACATAATGGATGCGGCACAAATGGATAACTCACTTAGCTAGAACCTCTTAAGAAATATCAGCGTGGACTAGCGGAATAGAGCTATATTGCATGGTGAGTGTAGAGAACCAAAGACCCCTCTTACTGGTAACGAGGAATTCCATCTTATTTATTTATTTATTTATATTTCTCAAGGGTGACGACCCATCAATAATTTGATTATTAATAGATGGTAGATGTCTTTGGCCCGCATCATCAACTTACCATCAGGTTAATTGTGTGCACGTTTATAACCATTATCCAATAAAAAATGGTGTTAGGTGGTGACAGAAATACTGCATGCATGTTAGAAAGGCAGAAATTTGGTCTTGTTAATGAATTTTCACATCTTTAATAATTGCCAAGTGTTGCAGACGAAATGACGAGCACAGTATCAGACGTCAAGCAGTTTTGAATCTGGTCTCTCTCACAGACCTAGTTTTTTCTTACCATTTAGATATACGTAATTTCATAATTCAAATTCAAATAGCTATGGTAGTTTAGATGGTTAGTGCTCGCTGTAAATTTCACAGTACGCGAAAAAACCGGTTTTGATAACAGCCAGTACCAATGAAATTGTTAATTACAATTTTAAGCGCTGATTTGCCACCTGCGGGCGGGTTTGCTTCTCGCCGGACGATCCCAACCTTGACGCTGGTTCTGTCGCTGATGTGGTACTTCAGGGTATGGAACTTTTTATTCCTTCCTATGTGGTGCCCATCGGAGGCAGATCTCAGCCATGGTTTAGTTGCTTCTGTAAAATAGCATCATGATATAAGCAGGAGTGCTATCGGGCCTGGACTGACGTATTAACGTCCCGGGATGTAAACAACAGCGTCCTTGCCAAGGCAAAGTCAGAGCACATATGCAGAATTGGCGAGAAACTAGTTCGCCTTCCTTCTGGAACCCGTGCATTCTGATCTCTCGCCAAGGCTGTCCAAGGGCATTCCTGTCAGCTATCTCTTCTTATCTCTGCACAGACAGGACGACTCACTGATCCATGACGCACAGGAGAAAGGCCGATCTGCTAGGCTCTTTCTTTGCGTCCAACTCGACTCTCGACGACGCATGATGACGGGGGAGCACGCCGCCGACCATCCCGCGGTGTGAGTGCTCCATGCCGGATGTGCGGTTCACACATTTCTCGTTTCACGAAGCACTCCTCTCCCTGGACATCCACAAGCTGAGTGGGCCTGACGGAGTCCCCCCAATTGTGCTGAGGACGTGTGTTCCAGAGTTTACACTGGTTCTAACGCGTCTTTTCCGATACTCCTGCTCCCTAGGCGTAGTCCCAAAACCATGGAGAACGTCTTTCGTCCACCCAACCGGCGCTAATCCACTAAAAAAAGGCGACCGTTCAGATCCGCCAAACTACAGGCCTATCGCCATCACCTTCTTGTTCTCCAAAGTAATGAAATCTATTATAAACTGCCATCTCATGCGGTACCTTGAGGATTACTAGCTGATTAGCGACCGCCAATACGGTTCTCGTTGGTGACTCATCGATGGGCGTATGCAGTGGAGTCCAAGGGGGAGGCAATGGCCGTTAATTTGGACATAGAAAACGCCTTCGATCGGGTTTTGCACAAAGCGCTGATTTCGATACTTCCTACCTATGGGCTTCCCGAGAAATTTTGCAATTGGACCACCAGATTTCTTGCATATCGGAACATCAACGTCGTTGTAGGCGGTGCATGCTGCGATTACAAGCCTTTTAATGCTAGCTTCTGACATGACTGCGATCTATCACCAACGCTGTTTCTTCTGCATATCAATTATATGTTGCAAACCGGTAACTTGACTTGGCGTGCTCAGCAGAGCGGGACAGTATTTCATGCCGACACACCGCCTGCAATTTTACAAGGCGCAGGTTCGGCCTCACAAGAAATACTTTTCCCATCTCTGGGCTGGGGCTCCCTAGTGCCAGCTCCTTCCACTTGACCGCATCCAGCGCAGAGCGGCTCGAATCGTTGACAACCGAGTGCTTTCCGATTGTCTTGATTTACTGGCGCTGCAAAGAGATGCAACATTTTCTTTCGCATCTATCACGGGGAGCTCTGAGGAATTGTTCGGATTAATTTAAGTTGCCAAATTTCATGAACACACTACGTGGCAAACCTCCAGATGCCATCTACACCTGTATCATCTACCTTCGAATTAATTTGTTTAAGTGATTATCAGTGATCATTTCACTAACTTTTAATTAAATTACTTTGATAAACATTTCTCCTCAATTGTAGAATAAAGTGCATAAAGTCATATCTTTATCTATAACAAGCGATTCGATATTCGATTTCTTTGACCTAAAAATTAACGAAAGGATATTAAAATGTATTCCAATATCGATGGATTTACTGTAGATATAAATCATAGCTGTCAAAATTATAGTATTATTTCCACAAGTAACATGTATTTGTGTCTTATATTTTCAAAAACTAGACTAAAGTTTAGACAAAATCATCTTCTAGACTTATCTCATGGGCTGATGCCTCCTAAAATTCTGAGAAGTTTAATATCTAATGTATATTGATTTATGATTGATGCTTAATTTTGAAGTGCCAACCAAAATTACAATTTACCTGAGTGTAAGCAGCTTCCTCCGTGAGCAGCACTTATGGACGTCCAAACCACGCTGCATAAAATAAGTAAAGAAGAGCTAAAATCTTCCTGAAAGACAAATCATCAAAAACATTTCTTTCAGATTCTTATTTACAGGCGATCGTAACAATTGAAACTTATCATAGTGTTATTAATATTATTATTGATATAATTAATTTAATCTTGCGACCGATTGGGAACCCGACGCATGCACACAAATCGGGTGCCCTAGCAGTAGAGAATTTCACCAGTTTGCCAATACGCCCAGAGTGCTGTGAAACTATCACCAGTGGAACTAAGATTTTGCTTTTATGAATAAGCTTACAAACACTTAAGAGCCTCGTTCATCAAACAGCAGAATGCGCCACGTGCAAGAGCGTTATTATATTCATCTATGCATTCAATTTAAATATATCATTTCAATCCAATTATTAACATTTCTTAAATTAATTTTTACATGGAGCATATTAAAGAATTGTTTGTCACAGAAAACGGAATATTATAGATTGAAAGTTATCATAACCTTGTTGTTATAAACATAAATTTGTTATATAGCAAACACATTTCAGAGAATGAATAGCCATTTACAAATGTAGGGACATAATAACGGTATTAAAACAACTTTATTTATTCCGCCTTTTGAACAAATCCTTTGTCTTTTATGTGTTAGGTGTCTAATTTTGTTGTGGTGACATAACCATCTAACGATGTTGTTGTTTCTGAAAAGTAGTTTGAAATCACTGTATCAGAAAATTTTAAAACACGATAAAAGAGACATGTAGTTAATTTTTTAAAATTTTGATCAAACGTTTAAAACGATATCTAATAATAATGTTCTTCAGATCGTTTCTCGGGCAAGATCTTCTAAATACTATCATGAGCTAGAAAGTACTGTGGTGTTATACATAGATAATCCTATATAAAGAAGGATTTAACGCACACCTGTTGTGTTTTTCTTGCAATCAATCTTGACGTACACCTTAATCTCAAAATTTCTAATTAAGTGTGCAAATAAACTTATAAATTCTACAATTTACTACGATTGGATTTCATGGGCTTTAACTTTTGTGCGCGGGACCCTAATTCTTTTTCTAAAATTAAACTAGACTAAGTTACTTCTAATTACGTCAGCTATTTGCCAGTAAAAATAATCGGTCCTGCCATTCCGGAGATTAGCCGGGATAAACATACAGACAGATAAATAGTTTGTAATTTGTTTTTTTTTATAAGTAGCGTATATACGCTAAGTTATATAACTTTATGTGCATTTAGTAAAAAGCTGTGTTTAAAATTTTTACATCACAAACTTCAATTTTATTTATTTGTATAGATATAAAATATATTCAAATTTTTGAACAAGTAACTTGCCTTCGGTCAACCCAGCGAAGGTTTTATGATGCGCAATGCCACCAGAATTAAAAAAAATCGTCGATAGTAATGCTTGACTTTCCCTTTTATTTTTTTTATTTTATACAGATTGTCATACATGACATCATTTGAACTCAGAAAATTATAAAATTATAATTTACTATTGATTTTTTTATTATACACAAGAACGACAACAACAAAAGACTTTAATTGAAAGCGATTTCATTTTATTATCTTTACAAATTGACATAAAATAGAAGAACAAATGATTTTAAAAAATAAAAATAAAACGCTTAGTCAAAGTTTTTCCGCTTTATTTAAAATAATTCCAAAATAACAGTAAATAAATTTAAGTTTCTTAAATCACATAAGACTTTTCTAATATGATAACTAAAAACTATAAATTAACCCCCTAACGATTCTTTTCCAGAACTTACTTCGTACGATCTAACAGAAAGGGTTGTAATGTTTTCATCACGGTATTCTTCGTCATTAATCCTGTACTTATGCATTTTTATAAAATCTTCAAAAGGGTTTAAGGCTTGCCGCCTTTCTTTACCTTCGGCTATTGTAGCTTCCCATGAAAATGGAACTTTATACGGGTTATCTCTAACAGTCTTTAAGGAGGCGTTCTTTATGTCATTATATTCTTCAAGGTATTTTCGTTTCAAGGATGTTTTATCTTCAGCGAGAAGGCTTTTCTTAACTTTTGGGCTTTTCTTTATTGCTTCAGGGAAAAGAATTGCAACCGTATCATTAAATATATTTTTTTGATTTTTCATTATATCGAGCATTCTTCTTTCTTTTTCCAATCGTTGAGACTCTAATTCTCTTAACGGTTTCTCGTGTTCTATCAGTTCAGCTCTATTTATTCTTTTCTTCATAGCGATAGTTCGCTCTATTAGTTTATGAATAATCATCTGCCACCGCTCTTCTGGACCAATGACTTTTAATTTTTGCTGCTGTTTTTTTTCCGCTTCTTCCACTAATCTCTTTTCTTCTTCTTCTATATGTCTGCGCTTTTCCTCTTCTTTTTCAGCTAAAAGTGTACCTTCTTTGCGCCTTATCTCCAATAAAATTTGAGGATTATTTTTTATCCAATCATTTTGCCAGCTTATGAAAGATTGCATGACATTTAATTCTCTTTTTGTCATTTTCTCCATTCTATTTATATATGATTGATTCTCGATCATAAAAATCGGAGGATCTAGAAAAGTTCTAAAGGAACCATTTACGTCACTTACACCAATAATGTTTTTTGTTAGGGGAAGAGTATGTAAGCTTACACCTGTAAGCATGGAACCAGACAGTGTCTGTACTGCTATTGGCTTGTCGCTTCTTAGCAATATGTCCCATGTTTCTAAATTACCTTCAGATGTCGTAACAAATATGATACTAGGCTTATATAATGACCAAGCAGCATCTGTTAGTCGGCAATTTCGCTTTTTCCAAAAAAGAGGTCTGCTCATTAGTTCATTAGACCAAATAGCAAATATTTTACCTCCAACAGTTAAAGTTAAATCGTTGAGGATTGGATTGACTTGTACGGTTGTTATGATGCCATCATGTATTAGACAACTGTACGTTATTTCACAGTATTCTGAATTAACAATTTCACCAGTGTTAAATTCATAACCATCCCATGTAACTCTTGCTAATTCTCCATGCTGTGTACCACAATAAATAATTTTTGATATATCACTTTCAGTTTGAGGAATGATTTCAGGAATAAAATATTTTCTTCCATCGCCTAAAGGCCTTGGTTTATGCATATATTTTATTAATGGAGGATTTATTCCAAATCGCTGTAATGGCAAGGTCTGTGGTCGGCCAGCAATGCCTAATAACAGTTTGAAACAAGGCTGTAAATTTCTATCTAAAACTTTGTATGGTGAAATATCAAGAAGTAAGCCAGATGGTTTTTTTGGAACTCTTTTTGACTTTTTGACTTTTTTTGTTTCAAACACTGTAATATTTTCCACAGATAAGTTCCAAATTAATATACTTCCATCTTCAGATCCAGTAAAAACCATTATAGAATTCCTATCTTTAGAAATCAAAGTAATTTTACCTGTCGGTGATACACTGAAATTGGGAGATAGCCAATTAATGGCAGTTATAGGAGCATAATGACTTGTTTGTAAGTTGCTTAAAGCGGTAGGTTCTACCACAGCCTTGTCATGAATATTTTTCATCCAGTCCATATGGGCATTCATAGCTATGTGATACTTTTCTCTAGTTTCACTAAGAACCTGTATACTTTCAACATTTCTCAATTTATTTGTTAGATCCCAAAGCACTACTTGTCCATTTATGCATCCACCTATTAAAATGTTTTCGTTAAAAGGGCAAAATGAAAGCACTTTAACTTCTCGTGGTGATTGCAAATAAAGTTTTGGTCGCAAACTGTCAATATGGCTCCATATCATTACAGGGTTCAAACCATAAGTTGCTCTTTGAATTGGATCATGACGTTGGCTTAAGGTTTTCATAATGGATGGATTCCCATCGGAATAGCAGATAGCTACTATACCTGTCCACATAGGATGAAATACAGCACATGAAACAAATTTTTCCTTTGCTAAAACATCTGTAAAACACACGTATTCTTCAAAAGACATTGAGTCATAAATATTAACTGTTTTTTCTGTTATTAAACTAGGATAATCATTGCGATATATATCCATTACTGTATTGAGTTCTACTATAGACTCCATTTCATGTTTATTTGCAACTAGAAATTGTTTAACCTTATTGATGTAAGATGAACGTCGCATATTTTTTAATGCGTTCATGAAAGTTACTAGCTCGATATCATTGGAAGTTTCCTTTACACTCTTCGTATCATCATCAGAACTGCTTTCATTACCTTTGTTTTTATCTAAACCAATGTTTGTATCACCACCACCCTCAGTTTCATCAATTTTTCCAAGCGCATCTGTCATCGTTTGAGTCCAAATATTTTTTGGGTATTTTAATTCCGTCTGAGCGTCTCTACTATAGATTCGGGTAGCCGCTTGAATCCCACAATCTACTCTTCGACAAAATATATTATTAAATTTTTGTCTGTAAGGAGTTAATTCAATGTAACCGTCTCTAACTGAATTGGTATCTCGGATTTTAAAACCTTGAGGTTGATACTTTGTAAGATACTGTGCCTTTATCTCTATTTCTAACAATGGCCTCGTATTAAAAGGAACAAGTTCCTTTATTTCTTCTTCACTTCCTAAGCTATTCCAAGGCCTTGGTTTTTTCTGAATTGCCTTCTCCAATTTTTTTTCTTGTCTTCTAATAAATTTTTCTGACTGTTGTTTACAGTGCTCTCTTGCTTCATTAGTACAGCATATATAAAATTCATCATCATCATTAGATTCGTCTACAATATACCCCATTAAAACAAATTCGTCATCATATGTTTCTAAACTTTGTTTCAAGAAATAAAATTCAGATAATTCGCCAACAGCATCTATATTTTCCATAATTTTATCCTTTTTGACCAATTTCCAAGGATATTGTACGTTAACATTAGTTCCAACGACCATTTCAATTTGAAATTGTGTTTCTTCTCCTAATATTAAACGGTATACACCATCAACATCATATTTAGGTATGAAACGTTTTCTTCGTGGTAATGGTTGCTGTTGTGTCATTTTCTGTTCAACTGTAACGAATTAACGATATTATTATTTATAACACCTGTATCAATATAATACTATGTTAGAGCAGTGACATAAGAACGTCAGTAACTATCATAATATAATGTTTTATGAATTATTATTTTTCTATAAATTATATAGATATTCACTAATATAAAGAAAAGGTTTTATGTACGTTTTATTTATTTAAAATTGCGTATCTTAATAACCGTGTAGTGGCAGTGTAATATCTACTCGCTACTATATAACATTTCGGTGGTGCCGGAAGAGGTGACAAGGGAAATTGAACCAGGTAATGGGCAGCAGAAACTTCTTGATAACAGCTTAATTTAAAAAAAATGGAGTTGCCGACATGCTTACCAAGCGTGGCAGTAACTATAGCATATATGTCCTCTGTGTAAGCTATTTATATTAAACGGCCCCTAGCCTACGTGCAGCTAACGTACTGTGCGCACGTTATACGTTGCTAGGTCAGGCGGTGAGGTCAGACGAAAAGATTCTACAACTGAGGAAATAATTATACTAGTAAAGTACTATAGGGATATTATAAAATTATCTGATGTCTAAAGACGGGGAGCACACAGTAATCCTCTAGCCTGGTAACTTGTTCTAACACCGGGAGGGAGGTACAAATGATCATCTGTCCCAAGAAATTATCGGATTAATCGTTCACAAGTCTCTAGTTGACGTTGTGTAGGACTTTGACATTGAGAGTGAGTCGATGAGGGTTGCAAATTGTACACTCAAAAATGAAAATGGTATTACCTAAAGGTCATATAAGGGGGATAAGTCGCTCGCGTCCGTAGGCTATGACCACCTATTACTAGGCCCACCCTACACGTGTCCCCCGGGTGGTGCTAAGTGAGCGACAAGCCGATACCACAGACTCGGCTCCACGCAGTGGTAGCGGCGTAAAACATACTACCCAATATTTTCGCACCATGAGGAACTATATAAAAGAAATGGCCCCGAGTTCCCGGCGCCCCTTTAATGGGGCAGGGGTGCGAAGAATCTCCGGGAGGAAAACCGGCGACGAGGTTCGCCACCCGTCACGTTCTGTCTCCCGGAGAGGCGAAAAGTGGATTGCAGAGGCCCGTCTGGCTACGTTGCATGTATGTGGGGCAATGAATGATAAAATGGATGCAGTATGCTATATGATGTATGATAGAGGAATAGATGTGTTATGTGTAAATGAGACGAAAAGGAAGGGGAAGGATGTCACTACACATGGCATGTACACCGCATACTGGTCTGGTGTAGACGAGATCGAGCGGGCATGCCAGGGGGGAAGGTATCATCCTTTCAGAAAGAATGGGCCAATGTGTGAAAGAGTATGAATGTGTAAGCCCAAGACTGCTATGGATACGAATGAAAGTGGGCTTAAAGAAGTTGTTTGTGTTAGGGGTCTACGCCCCAGACATGTCTAAGCCCACTTATATCCGAGAGCAGTTTTGGGAAATGGTAAGGATGGTGTTAATAAAATGTAAGGAAAATGAAAATATTGTTATGCTAGGAGATTTTAATGGAAGGGTTGGGGCGAGGAGGCTTGGCTATGAAAGGATACTGGGAACGTTTGGTGATGAAAGTATAAATGAGAATGGTGGAAGTCTCCTCACCGTATGTATGGAAAGGAATCTTTTTGTGACGAACACTTTCTTTCGTCACAAGAGGATTCACATGTATACTTGGGAAAGAGGTGACGATAGAAGCATGATAGATTTCATAATTGTGGATGAAATATTGAGAGGCGCAGTGGTAGATACAAGGGTTTACCGGGGTTCTAACGTAGGAACTGATCATTATTTGGTTTTATGCCGAATTAATGGTCTATTCAGGCGTTGGCGCCATCGATCATCTGTGTCTACCACTGCGTTACAGCGTATTAGAACAGAAAGGTTACAATATGAAGGTGAGAGAAACAAGTTCAAATGTAGACTGAAAGAAAATATAAGTGGTTTGGATGAATTATGTATGAAGGAGTTAGACTTGGAGAATGTATGGCAAAATGTAAAGAAAGGTTTAGTAGATGCAGCTACTGAAGTATGTGGTGTTAGTATGAGGAAGAATGAAAGGAAAAATAATACGTTATGGTGGGATGATGAGATACGTATGGCAGTTAAAGCAAAGAAGAGAGCATGGCTAGATTTACTAGCAACAAAGGCTGGTAATTCTAGCGGTACGAATGATGATATTGAAAGAAAAAAGGCAGTCTTTAAACATCTTAATAAGAGAGTAAAAGAAGTAGTTGAAAGAAAAAAGCAAGAAAGAACGGATAAGAATGATAGAAGAATATCGGATAACTTCCAGGCAAATTAAAATGTTCTGGAAACTTGTAAGAACTGCCAGGGGACATTCAAAACAGCCTATGATGAATGTTATAAGAGACGAGAATGGCTATATTCTGAAAGATGAAGTTTTGAGTTTAAAGAGATGGAAGGAATATTTTGAAAGCGTGTTTAAGAGTAAGGAGACAACGTGTGTACTAAGTGAAGTAGAAACTCCGAAAGAAGAGGAAAGAGGTAGCGAGATAAGTATAGATGAAATAATGAAAGCAATGAAAAGCATGAAAGCAGGTAAGGCTGCCGGATATGATAGAGTTTCACTCGAAATGCTAAGGGCTGGAGAAGAAGTCGTGGCAGGCCTGCTGCACACCTTGTTTAATTTATGCTGGGAACTGAAGCGGGTACCGGTAGACTGGTGCAAAGCCGTGATAGTCCCAGTATATAAAGGAAAAGGGTCGCAGCAGGACTGTAAAAACTACCGTGGCATCAGCCTTCTTAGCATTGTGGGAAAACTGTATGCTAAGGTACTGATTGAAAGGGTCATGAAAGAAACTGATGGAAAAATTTGGGATGTGCAAGCGGGATTCAGAAAGGGAATGGGATGTACAGATCAAGTCTTTTCCATGCGCATGATCGCGGAGAAGTTTTTGGCCAAAAACCAAAAGGTTTTTTGTGCGTTCATGGACTTGGAAAAGGCCTATGACAGAGTGGATAGGGATGTGCTATGGCAAACACTGAACTCATTTGGGTTGAGCGCTGGCTTGATACAGGCACTGGAGTCTTTTTATAGGGACTCTAGTGCTTGTGTTAGGATCAACGGGGTCTACTCGAACTGGTTTGACATCCATAAAGGTGTCAGACAGGGCTGTGTGGCTTCCCCGTGGCTGTTCAACCTATTTATGGACAGTTGTTTGCAAAATTTGAAAGTTGAAGAATGCAGATTAAGAATGGATGAGTTAACCGTCAAATGCCTTTTGTACGCCGATGATCAAGTTATCCTTGCGTCGTCGGCGGCCGAGTTGCAAATGACGGTTACATTAATGAACAGATCATTAAAAGAAAGGGGTATGAAAGTGAACGCAAGTAAGACGGAGGTTATGGTTTTTGAAAGAGAAGAAAGTAAAACGATTTGTGAAATAAGAATAGAAGGGGAGTTGATCGAGCAAGTAGATGAGTTTGTATATTTGGGCTGCGTATTTAGCAGGGATAGGAGATATGACAAGGATATAGAACGACGAGTGAATGCGGGAAATAGAGTAAATGGGGCCCTGCTCTCTATTGTTAAGAGTCAAAATGTGTCAAAAAAGGCACGTATGGCAATTCACAATGTTGCGTTGGTCCCTACTTTAACGTATGGTAGTGAAAGTTGGGTGTAGCAGAAGAAGCACGAGAGTAGAATCAACGCAGTAGAAATGCGGTCCTTAAGGAGTATGTTAGGGCTAAATCTGAACGACAGGGTAAGAAATTGTGTAATAAGAGAAGAGTGTGGTTTGCAAGATGATGTTGTGACCAGGATTAAGAAAGGAATGCTTCGGTGGTTTGGTCATGTGGAAAGAATGAATGAGGAAAGAGTGACAAAGAAAATTTATGTTGCAGAAGTGAATGGCAGAGTCGGAAAGGGACGTCCTAGGCGAAAATGTATCGACCAAATTGGCGATTTATTGAAAATGGGCCAAATTAGGAGTATCCTTAACCGACGAGCATGTATGCGTAGGTGTATGGATGTGAAGGAGGCGAGAGAGGTGTGTCAGGATCGTGCCAAATGGAAGTCTGTAGTCTCTGCCTACCCCTCTGGGTGACAGGCGTGAGTGCTAAAGGTCATACGAGTATACGCACCATCCTTGTTGTATACAGATAAGGGGACCCTGATAGCTTCAGCTCGAGTTACAAAATCGTTTTTAGTGCCTAGAAGATTGCATTGTAGTGGACGATATCAATTGGGTGACCCACCGCTAGATGGCGACCAGTCTACTAAATAACTTTGTGGTAATATATGGCCTCCCCATATACATATATGTTACTTATGATACTATGGTAGTAGTAGTAGTGACTTAATAATGGCTTCTCACGGTGCTTGATATCACATGATAGTTTTTGTCATCAAATCTATCATATATACAAAAACACAATTTCTTGGTTGTCGTATCTGGATATGTTATGGTGTCCCAGTGTCGCTGCAGAACGGAATATTCATTAAATATATTGCAGTTCCTTCAAGTTTTAGAATTTTCTAAAAAGAAACTCTGTTGTTTCTTTGGAAATTACACATATTTTCCGGATTGGATGACGGAAACACTGGATTTTCTGAAGTTTAAAAAAGTTTTAAAATAATGTAAATATATATAGTAAGCAACTATTAGTATTTTTGGTATTTATTAGTTACGTCATGTTATTTCAAAGAGGTACTTATTTAATAAAGTGCTCGATGTTGAAGAAAATATCCTAAGTAAATCTGTACGTCTGAGTAAATAATCATGTGTTAATAATCATAGCTCTCCCGTCTGTTATATCGCTTCTAACTTACTGTTAATTTTACTTGAAAATTCAAAAACGTACCAATTTCTTGATTTTGCTCCTGTGGTAACCGATCTTCAGTACTAGACTCAGTTGAATCATCACTGTTTGTGTTGTTCGCCATATTTTTACTTTCCTCTTCGCTGTCAGAAAAGCTCATATTTTCAATATTTTGAAAGTGATAATTCTTTAGTTCCACGCCAAAGTTTTATCTATTAAGCGTTGAAGAGAAACACTCGTGAGACCTCGGAAAAATCGAACTTAGCCGAAAGTGGAAAACACGGTGATCATTCGGGTAAAATTTTGGTAACTTTTACGTTACGTGCCACACTTTTCTTACTTCCTCTGAAAAAGAGAAAAACACAATGTAATTAGTACTGCATTTATGATGATTCAGTTGAAACAAATGCTATCCTAAGTTTTGAACTATAGGATGCCTATTTTATTCTGTAGAATTATTACGGTTTCCAATGTTCTTTATGAAAATCTATAAATTACTGTAATTAATAAATTGTTCCTTTACATTTATTTCATTTCAAAGTCATTATGAAAATATTGTTAAATTTTGGTTACAGTACGTACATAAAACGTAATATAAATATAGCATTGCAAAAATTAATTATACGATAAAATGTTATTTAATATTCATACTTCGAAATTCGAGAACGTGCCACAGTGTTAGTCATATGTACTTGTAGCACTATGATCACTTTTCACAACTCATCATTTTATTAGAATATTTTGAGATTTTTCGTCAATCGAAAGCCCCAAAATTTAATAAAACCTCACTAAGTCGCCCTTTACGAAACTTTCGAGAAATGATCTTTCTTACACCCGTACCACAAAGTGAGTGAGTCTTATCAATATTTTAAAATCCATTTCTTTTATTGTTATTATGGTAAATAATGTTACCCCACTAGAATTTTTTCTTGCATTTTTTGTAGTCCATATGCTTGGATGAATATTCTGCCTTTACGTGACGACTCCGTGGCGCAGTGGCTTAGCAATGAGTGGCTACGCTGGGGGCCGCGGGTTCGAATCCCGCACGGCACAAGTATTTGTATGGCCTACAAATTATTATTCCGGGTCTGGATGTTTGTCTTTGTGCAATTTATGTATGTAAACTGCTTCCACGATACAGGAGAAAATTCTAGTGTTCTAACGTATAAAAAAATAAAAACATTATGGATCGTCAAGATCGACGCTTGCTTGTTTATTAGTAGGTTGCAGTTTGACTGCCTCGTTGTTGTCCGTTATTCGAATCCTGCGTTTGGCCAAAATCAGTTATTGGGGTTTTTTCTCAAAAAATTTTAATAGCCGCCCGAATTCAGGAAGTTGTCGGTGTTTCTCCCATGACTTGAAAAGCACGTAAAAAGTTGCTCCTGAGCCTGTTCGATCGTGTCGGTTTGCCGTCCCACCGGAATAAACATACTAGTGCACTATAATCCTGTCCTGCGCAGATAGCTAATCTCTGTTCAGACCGGTGAACTTATTCAAAAATCGGTGTGAAGGACTTTAGGAGCATCGTTCTCAGGTTAGCACTTGAAAAAATGTTGGAATACTCTATACAGTACGTTTAAGGTAACATTTAACTACAAAAACAAAATTATTATTGTTAGATAAAAGATAAAATAATTTTAAATAATATTACACATGGTATGTACGAGGAGTACCCATAGTAGTAACGTCACCATAGTAGTAACAGTGAGTTTATGCTTAGACTGTTTCCAAGAAATGTATGATGTCTACAAATTTGAATGAAAACGTGGTATCTTGATTTGAAATTGTAGTAGCTCTAGTAATTATTGTAGTATGTATAAATTATGATCCAAATTATACCAACTCATGACGGTAGAATTTTTTTTAAATTGAATAATGGCTTCTCAGCTTTAATTCACCTATCATTTTTACCGCGTAAAATAAAATTAAACATACGAACTTTTTTGAAGATAAATGTATATCACATTAACTCTTAAAGAACTAAAAATACCTGAGTAATAATTCCTTAAAGCTGGCTTCTTTAGAATACTTTTTAATATACGTTAATTTGATTATTATGTTTTCAATTCAATTCGATTTGACTTTCAATTTCCAAATTAACACTACTTTTCTTGGTTCCCTTTGCAAAATGAATTTTCAACGCGCATGCGCGTATTAGTTTCTGTCACTGAATGGTACTGTTTCTAAGGCAACAAAACGTACGTTTATTATCTATTGGAAACGAATATACTAGGATCGCTCATTACTTAAAGAGTAAAATTATTTTCGTTTGGTGAGTGACGAAAACGGGAAACCCTGTTTTCCAGCAACGGAGCTCTCCATTCTAGTTCACAGTTTGTTAATGTAATTAAATTTCTTATTGAGATAGATGTAGATGTCTAAGTGTCTCAATATCCATATAATATCATACGTTTTGTACCATTTGTAATCAGTACTTCTATATAAAATAATTAATTTCACGTAAATATAAAAGCATATTACTGACACACAGATGCGACAGGGGAAACAAATCAGGACATGGGCAGCAGCGTCTTCCTAATGACGACTAAAAAAAAAACTGCGGTTGCCAAGTCGCTTGCCAAGTGTGGCCAGTATGGCAAATATCCCACCCTATAAAGCAATCTATAAGGGAGGCCGATGCTGTGCCTGAGTGGACTTTAATAGGATGAAAATCACATAAAGTTAGTAAAGTTAAAACATTTATACATCTGCGGGCTGAAGCCTCCTGTCATTTTATGAAGCAATAATTCCGGCAACAGTGCGTGCGCATGTTAATTGCGAATAAAATGTTTTGTGGATGCAGCTTTCTACAAAACATTTTATTCACAATTAACATTCTCATTTTTAACAACGGGGATCGAACCCGTGTTGCTCTTGTACTGTGAAATATACGGCGAGTACATGGACTCTAAACTGCACGAAGTAGAGACACGCTGCAACTATATTATGGTTATAGCACGAATGGGTCGGCTCGACAGGGGTTCTCGAGACGCTCTCACACAAAATCAGCGTAAAAAAGCAGCTTAATGCTGCTTTGTTGAGTGTAGAGAACCAGAGACCCATTTTACTATAATCGAGACTGGAATGCGATTATAGTAAAACGGTTCAACGCATCTGCATTTTGAGCCTTAATTGAGGATAAAATGCAGCTTCTGTGGGCAACAGCAACTACGTTCCATCACGTGGACTGTGCACTCGTTTCTCACACTCATTCCACAAAAAATACAACGTAAGCAGTGGTCATCATCATCATCATCAGTACAATTTTTCACAATTCCACTTTTCAATAGACTTCTCCCAAGGAAAGTCACACAAAGGCCCTGAGCCAACCGCTAAGTGAGCGAGCCAAAACAGCTGCTATTTATACAACTCGCTGACACAACCGCTCCCAACTTAAGCAGTGAGTGACCGCGTAATACTATAAAACATGCGACCAATCACTGCCGACGTACGCAGTCGCTTGCTATAAAATTAATTAAAAACCGCCGCGAAACACCCGCCTACCCTCCTACCACTTAACTAATCGCTGATCACCGTGAGGGTATCATGTATAAAAGAGATGAGTTAGAAACATTTGTTTGTTCATACAGCAGTGCAACGTTACCGTAATATTTTTTTTATTGGATAGGGTAACAAACGAGCACACAGTCCACCTGATGGCAAATAGTTACTGTGGCCCATAGACATCTACTTCTATCCTCGATTACGAATCAAAATGCAGATGCGCTGTCACCCGTGAGGACTAAGATGAAATGCCTTGTTTCCAGTAAAAAGACTCTCCGGACTCTACACTCACCATACGAAACACAGCAGCGTTAAGCTACTATTTCACGTTGGTATTCTGTGAGAGCGTGGTCCTTCCCCGGTCGATCCGACCCATTCGACTACAACTATACTATTAATATAACTGCAGCATGGCTCTACCACGTGTTAAATTATATATATTTTTAAATATCTGTTACTATTTCAGCACACATAGTTGCATCTGTACATTTTCGAAAAAAGATGAAAAATTGATAAAAAAAATGGTTTTTGACTAATTTAAGTCTTAGTGACGCCACATAATAAATTTTCTTGATTATTAAATCGAAGCCAGGCTGGGTCTTTTAGAATTATATAAAACGTAATAATAATATATAAAGAGATAAACTCAGTGTAAATAAGAATAATTATTTATTTATACCCCTCAATGTAAAATTGCCTATGATACGCGATCATTTCTTTAGGCTGGAGGTTAGAGTTTGTTTATTCTAGCCTCGCTTACTGCGAATGCAAACAAGAGATGGTTTGGTAATGAAAAATACACAGCCGCTGTTTTTCAAACTTGGGATGAAAGTAATTCAAAATAATAGGTCGCTATATTATTAAGAAAAAAAAAACATCGTTGTGTAAAAATCTTAATACATATCATGTTCCGTGAATATATTTTTATTTTGTGGATCCAATTCAATCCTTTATAACTAACAGTGTTAAAAGAAAGACGGGGTTTGAAAAATATACCAATTTGAGAGTAAAACCGGACATGTAATCTCATGTGCACCTTTACTATGGGAAATATCAAAATGACCTTGTGGCTTCCAGTAGAGGGTAGTAAAGTCATCCCGTTATTTTTTAACTATTATAAGTCAGTACTTGACTACTATTCCACATGATGGTAAGTGTTAATGCAGCCGAAGAAGATAAAGCGCACTGACTTAGCTTAACATAAGCTACGGGAGGCAGGAGAGTCACGGGCTTCGGAATGTTTTTCTTAGTTCTTAATTATGCTAAATCAAAACATATCCAGACCCAATAATCGGCGTTATTTGGTATAGATTTGATCCCCGTACAGGCGTTGTAGCATTCAGTAACTTTGATTACTAGACATTTTGACTTCACGGCTCAGTATTGTTACGCGCTCAAGTCGACGATACACTAGCACCATCTAGTGTCAGGAACGAGAGCGAGGGGAACATTGAGAAAATGACATCACAAATCACTCGACCGACAGCGCCACCCGAAGAACTAAGTTTCTGGAAAATCTACACTCGAATACTCGTTGCCTGGCGCGCATTTACTTGAATGTTCGGGACGCTTCTTTGCTAATTATATAAATAGGCGCTGCAAGATGCAATCGGGGCAGAGTTGAACTCGGCGACACAAGCGAAGCTTCGGAGCGGA